GCTTTTCCCAGCTCGATCTCATCCAAAATCATGGTTCCCCCTGCCATCCTCTGGGCGCGCGCGTGGGTCCCAGTGGCGCCGAGTGACAGAGCCGTGAACCATGATTTCGGGCTTTTCCAGCCTCGATCTCTCCAAAATCATGGTTCCCGCCATCCTCTGGGCCGCCGTGGGTCCCAGGGGCGCCAGACAGAGCCGGGAACCATGATTTCGGGCTTTTCCAGCCTCGATCTCTCCAAAATCATGGTTCCCGCCATCCTCTGGGCGGCCGCGGGTCCCTGGGGCGCCAGACAGAGCCGGGAACCGGGAATTTGAGCTTTTCCAGCCTCGATCTCTTCAAAATCATGGTTCCCGCCATCCAGAGCGCCGCCAGACAGGGCGGGGTGCCGGGAATTTTTGCTTTTCCAGCCTCGGTCTGTCGAAGGCCGCCGTGAGTCCCTGGGGCGCCAGACAGAGCCGGGAACCGGGATTTCGGGGTTTTCCAGCCTCGACCTCTCCAAAATCATGGTTCCCGCTATCTTCCGGGCTGCGGTGGGTCCTTTTCGCGCGCGCCCAGCGAATTTCTTTCGAACGGCCCGCAGTTTTCGTGCGAATCGATTTCGCGCGGACGGCGGACCCTCGGCGAATTCAAGCCAGATGAATGAAATCAGACGAATTAGAAGTGGATGATTTTAAATCGGGCGAATTGAAACCGGATGCATTTAAAGCGGACGAATTAGAACCGGATGAATTTAAACGGATGAATGAGAACCAGATGAATTTAAACCAGGCGAGTTAAAGCCAGACGAGTTTAAAATAGACAACGCGAGCCACACAAAGGCACACTGATAAAAATCAAGCCGGACGAGTTTAAACCGGACGAATGAAAACCGCATTACATTAAACCGGGGGAATTAAAACCGGACGAATTTAAACTTGGACGAATTTAAACCAGATGAATTAAACCGGGTGAAATTAAACGGATGAAATTAAACGGATGCGATTCAACGCGGACGAAATTTAATTTGGATGAAACAGAAGTGAATATTCGTCCCTTTCTTTCTCTTTGCCGCTGCTGCTGCTGTTGCTCGCCCTCCTCTGCCGAGTGGTCTCCAGACGTGCATTGGACGCCTCGGAGCTAGCTTGCTGCCAGGACCGCAGCATTTCGGAGCTCCAGTGCTCCGCGTGTGCTCGTAATTATGTCGTATTGTTTTTTAAAAAAGAAGTTCCTCATCCTCGTCTCCCCAGCTTCTCCTCCTCCCTCCTGCTCCTGCTCCTCCTCCTCCTCCTCCTCGTCATTTTCATCCTTCCTCCCGTTCCTCCTTCCTCCTCCTGCTCCCCCCTCCAATCTTATCCCTCCGCCCCTATTCAAAACGCTTCGCGTTCACCGACGGCCGTACCAGTCCTCGCCAGACAAGTCGAAGATGGACCCAAGGTGGGATGCAGACATGCCGAATGCAGTAAAAGACGGTCCTAGTGGTATTGTGTACCCCTTCTTGCATTCCATGCTCCTCCATGCCATGTCCGACTGGACTCAGACATGCCTCGTGGCTGATCGCATGTCAGATTATCGTCTAATTGTCGGTTCGCCATCAAGGCCACTTGATTAGTGATACAGGCCTCGGAAAAAAAGTAGCGAACACTCATGCCACATTCATCTGTGAACGCCTCCCCCTCCCCCCAATGTTCAAAGTTGGCGGTGGGTCTGATGAGTTGCACCTCGACCGCAGTCTCCCCCCCGCGTGCCAACTTTGAGTTTGGGGGGCAGGGGGGGTGTTCACTAATTGTTTCCCTCTACCCTAGGGAGGTTTACTGTCTGCATTCCTGCCGCATGTCCAGAGCAGGAGGCCGGAGGTGGCCACGAGGCGGCCTGAAGCCCCAAGACGGCCTGAGCATGGCCCGCAGAGCGTCAAGAAGTGCAGCAGAGGGCTCGCTCGCAGCCCGCCCCGGCCCGTTCCGATACTCCTACCCTGGTCCTTCTCCTCCTCCTCCTCCTCCTCCTCCTCCTCCTCCTCCTCTTCCCCTCCTCCTCACTCCTCCTCCCTCCTCCTCCTCCTCCGATCCTCCTCCTCCTCCTCCACTCCTCCCCCTCCTCCTCCTCCTCCTCCTCCTCCTCTCTCCTCCTCCTCCTCCTCCTCCTCACACCCCTCCTCCTCCCTCCTCCTCCTCTTTCCCTCCTCCTCTCCTCCGCCCTCCTCCTGCCCTCCTCCTCCCTCCTCCTCCTCCTCCTCCTTATCCTCCTCCTCCTCCTCCTTCCTCCTCCTCCTCCTCCTGCCGCCTCCTCCTCCTCTCCTCCCTCCTCCTCCTCCTCCTCCTCCTCCCTACCTCCTCCTCCCCCTCCCCCTCCCCCCAGCCAAATCCCCCCCCTCCACCTCCTTCCTCCTCCTCCTCCTCCTCCTCCTCCTCCTCCTCCTCCTCCTTCTCCTTGTCCCCCTCCTCCACCACCCCTTGTGCTCTCGAAGCCGAGCGCGCGCCCGAGAACCCATGAAGACCCTTTTGCTCCTCCCTTGACAACCGTGGGCCGCGACGGCGTCTCGGCCCTCATTGAAGTCCTTACCCCCCACTTTTGGGCAGAAGAGCAGCGAGAGAACAAACGGGAGAGACAGAGAGAGAGAGAGAGAGAGCACTGCAGAGAGCAGCCTGGCAACGAACCCGCGCCGCAGCTTGTGGCTTTCGGGGTGCCTCTCGCCGCCCCCGCCCGCGGCGGCTCGGCCCGAGTCGGCCCCTGCCGCCCCAGGGAGGCGGGCTGTGGCGGGGTTCACTCGCTGGGCTCTCGGTGCGGCAGGAGGTGCCTCGCGCAGACGGGCGCGGCGAGCCGCTTACATGCGCGCGGCACCCTTCACCGCCCAGCACGCAGCCGAGGCGCTCAGACAAGGACCACCTCGGGCTCGGGAGGGCGTTGGTCTCCGGGCCGTTCCCTAGATCGACCTATTCGTGGCCGAGGTTTGCCGTGGCCGAACGAACCCTTCCGTTTCTCACTCAGCGCTCCTCTTGGCACCGCTCGGACGTGCGTATTTTCTCATATTTTCTTTCGACGAGGCCCATCAAGGAGCATGTTGAGTCATCTTGCGAAAAGGTGCACGCACCAAGCCGAGAAACGCATGGGGAATGGATGTCCGAGCGATGGCGAGTCCTCAGGCTAGCACGATGGCTGCAGTGAGCCCCAAGCGTGCGGAGGCAGCTGCGCGACTGGAGCGGGGGGCCGTCCAGGCACCAGAGCTGGGCTTCGTGCTCCAGCTGGGTGCCCAGATCAGCTCTTTGGCTGCGCCGCGCCGTGCGCTCTGACCGCCACCGGTTGTCCAGTGTGCCGCGCCTGATGGCCCTCGCCTGCACCGATCTTGGCCAGGCTCATCTTGGATCCTGGACCCAGGATCGGCGGTGCCCTGCGAAATGTCGACGGGCCCCCCTCGTCTCCAGGGTGCCTTGGGCTGGCGTGCCCGGGCAGCACGCCGGGCCGAGCTGGACTTGCGGGTCCCAGAGGGCAAGAAGGCCTCGGGCTCCCCGCTCTTGCGCCGCCCGAGCGCCGCCGACGTCCGACATGTTTGGGCAGACGCGCCCGGGTGTTGCCTTGTGTTTCCTTGTGTGGTCGTCGTCGTCGTCGTGGTCGTCGTCGTCGTCCGTCGTCGCCCTCGTCGTCGTCGTCGTCGTCGTCGACTTCGTTGTTCGTCTTACGTCGTCCGTTAGTGGGTGAGGAGAAGAAGGAGAGGCTGGGAGGGGAGCTGGAGGGATGGAGGGGATAAGGAAGTGTTTCCGACGTTCCACCCTTGGTGTTGCCTTGTGCTTCCCACCTTCTGTTGGCGGCCAGCCAGAGCGTTACGTGGCCGGGGAAAGTGTTGGGCCGCGGGCCAGGCCAGGCTTCAACCAGAGGAGCAGCAATGCTGTTCACCATGCAGCGTCAGCTGCCACGGAGGAGTGTCGCGGGATGGAGCGGCGGTTGTAATGTGCAGTGGTCTCGCGCGCTTTCTTTACTGGTTATGCGCCTGCCTGTCTCACATGTTTCCGCCCGCAGGCCGTGTTGGCCCCGCCTGGCCACGATGCGCCTGAATGTAGCGCTGTACGTGTGGTGCCTGGCCTTGTGGGCAAAGGCGGGAGGGTGCTGGTCTGCCGAGACAGAGGAGATCATGGGGGACCAGAATGAGGAGGAAGGACGAGGAGGAGGAGGAGGAGGAGGAGGAGGGAGGAGCGAGAAGCGGAGGAGGAGGAGGAGGAGGAGGAGGAGGAGGAGGAGGAGGCCGCGTTTTTGTTTGGCTCTCTCCGGGGCGGCGGGGCGCGAGGGGTCGGCACCACCCGGGCGTGCTGATGCCGCGCGTGTGCGTCGGCCCCGCAGGGGCGGCGCGCAGGTTCGGGGACCTCACGGCATGTGTGCCGGGAGCTCTTTGTGGCGGGCGCTCTCGGCGGCCCCGCCGTGCGGGGAGCTGCCGGCCACAAGGCGCCTGCAGCGTGGAAGGCGCGCGTGCCGTGGACGCCGAGGGGGGGAATGGGGGGGGGTGTTCGGACCGGGGGGCGGGCCTCCCGCGCGCGGGTCACGCTGCAAGCCGAGCGGCCACTTCACAACCGGGTGGGGCACTTTGCAACCAGCATGGGTCTTCCCGGAGGGGCACTTTACAACCAGGGAAGGCCACTCTACAACCAGGCAGGTAGACGCACATAAGCGACACATGCTCTTCAATTTCCGAAACCTCCGTGGGCCCACGCAAGGGAGACACTTTGCTCTCTGAAGCGCGTTGGTTGTAAAGTGGCTCGTCTGAAGCGAGAATATGTGAAGTGGCGGACTCCTCATGGGATCCAACGAAGATCCCAATGGAATCCTACTGGCACCCTTCCCACTGGGATCCTGTTGGCACCAGATGAATCCCATTGGTATCCGACAAGATTCCTCTCTAAGGGGCCTACGGGCGTCCTAGTGGAATCCGATAGAGATGCTTCCTATTGAAACTCGTTGGGGCCCTTCCTAATGGAAACCGCTTGGAAGCCCCAGTGGATTACAATCGAGGAACTATTGGAATGCTGCGGGAAACGCACCGGGGTACTATATCGAAACCCGGTGGGGATTATTTTGGCTTCTTACTCGGAAGCCGTATGAACCGTTTCTTTTGGAATCCCATCGGAACCACATTGGCGAATGCGAAGGATATCGTATGGGAATACAATCAGAATCCTTCGTTGTCTATTCATACGGGCGTACTACTGGGATCACATCAGGACCCAACTGTAACCCAGCAAGAACCTGTCCTCTTTGAGTCAAACTGTGCCCGGGTTGGCGTCCTATTGTAATCCTTGCGGTACCCGAGAGGAGCTATTGGAATCCAATTGAGATCCAATCGAGATCCTCTCGCCACAGGTTGGTGACAGGCCTGGGCGGTTCAAGCCTTGCTTAACATCCATGCCTAAATATATTTAGCTGTTTTGGGGGAGCCTCATAACCTCTGCCTGAAAATCTGGCTTCTTCTGGTAATAGAAGGACAGTATGCGTTCGTCGCAAAAGACGCAGAGGAACAGGCAAGCTCTCAGGGAAGCGGGAATGTGCCCAAGAAGTCGCTGGTAAAGTTCTAGCCGATGCCTGTGGATTCAATATTTTTGCATCGTAGACATCTGTTGCCCTCGTGGCAACGGCGCAACCGTATGTTGTCGCATGTGCGGAAGCATGCGCGCCCAGAAAAAACGGAAATGTGGCAAAGAAATCAGTGGTAAAGTTATAGCCGACACATGTGGAGTTCAACATGTTATTTTTTTGGCCTCATAAACCATGTTCTGCCCTCGCGCCTCATCGTCTGGCAATAGCAAACGACACTATGCTTTCACACTTGCAGAAACATTTTTTGGTTTGCGGGGCGAGAGCGAACCTCTTCCGGTAAAAGCTAGGCGGGCTACGCACAGCTCTAATTGGGGAGAGGGCACAGGCGGGCGGGGCCTCAGACTTGCGGAAACATGCCTACCCAGGAGGGCGGAATTGTTGCCAAGAAGTCGATGGTAAAGTTCTAGCCGACGCATGTGGATGTTAATTTGTATGTTTGGCCTCACAGACAATGTTTGTCCTCGCGCCGCATCGTCTGGCAATCGCAAACCGTATATGCTCGCATTCGCGATTGCATGCGTGCCCAGGAAGGCGGAATTAAGAAAAGAAGCCGATGGTAACATTCTAGCCAATGCGTGTGAATTTCAAAGTGTGGTTTCGTGTCTCATAGACCATGTTTGTCCTCGCGCCTCATCGTCTGGCAATCGCGAAAACAGTATGTTGTCGCAATTGTGGAAGCATGCGCACCCAGGAGGGCAGACATGTGGCCAAGAAATCGATGGTAACTTTCGAACCAACTGTGGATGTGAATTAGTTTTTTGGGGTCTCGCAACGAATTTGTATCCTCGCGCCTCATCGTCTGGCGCAAATGAAACAACATGTTTTCGCATTCGCGGAAGCATGCGTACCCAGGAAGGCAGAAATGTGGCCAAGAAAACGTTTGTAAAAGTGTAGCCAATGCGTGTGGATTTCAAATCGTGGGTTTGCATCATAGGCCATGTTTGCTCTCGCGCCTTATCGTCAGGCAGTGACAGAACCGTATGTTTGCGCAAGTGCGGAATCATGCGTACCCACGACGGCGGAAATGTGCCTAAGAAATCGCTGGTTAAATTCTAGCCGATGCATTCGGACTTCAATGTGTATCGCTCGGCCTCGCCAGCAGTTTTTGTTCTCGCGCCTCATCGTGTGGCAATAGTCATACTTTTTAATTGTTTCGCATTCGCGGACGCGTGCGTAACCAGGAGGGCGGACATGTGGTCCAAAAATCGATGGTAAAATTCCCACAGGAGGCTCTCAGGCGTTCGGGAGTGAGCGCCCAGGCGCACCGGAGCCTCTGCAGAACGCGCAGGCGCTCAGAAGCCTCTGCAGAGCGCTCAGGCGCTCAGAAGCCATTGCAGAGCGAGCGTTTAGGCGCTCAGATGCTTCTGCACTGCGCTCAGGCGCTCAGAAGCCTCTGCACAGCGCCCAGGCGTTCAGATGCCTCTGCAGAGCGCTCAGGCTCTCAGAAGCCTTGGCAACGCGCCCAGGCGCTCAGAAGCCACTGCAAGGCGCTCAGGCGGTCAGAAGCATCAGCAAAGCGCCCAGGCGCTCAGATGCCTCTGCAGAGCGCTCAGGCGCTCAGAAGCCTCAGAAGCCTCTGCAGAGCGCGCACGCGCTTTTGAAGGTTGGTTGTAAAGTGGCCGTTCTGGTTGCAACGAGCCCCCCGTCTGGGATGTAAAATAGTCGTTCTGGTTGTAAAGTGGGTCGTTCTGGTTGTAAACTGGTCGTTCTCAAACGAAAACCAAGAATTTCGATCCTTTGCTGGATGTCAAGTGACCTATCTTGGTTGCACAGTGCCGTTCTAGTTGTAAAGAGACCGAATTTCGGGGCCTCCCCCATGAGATGCAAGGGGGGGGGTCCGAAGCGGAGGGGGGCCCCCTTCAAGGAAGGGGGGCGGGTTGAACCGTGGGGGGGGGTCCCCGATACTTGCAGGGGGGGGGTCAAAATAGGAGGGCCCCCCGTCCTGTAACTACGGGGGGGAGGTTCGCACCGGTGTTCACCCCCTCTGTCCAGGGGGGGGTTCGAACCGGGGCCCCACCCCTTCCCTCGAGTTGCACGGGGCGGGGCCCCGGGGTTCGAACGTGGGGGGGGCTCCCCCTTCCCTCGAGTTGCAGGGGGGGGCCCGGGGTTCAAACCGGGGGGGGCCCCTCCCTTCCTTTGAGTTGCAGGGAAGGGGGGGGGCACTTGCAAGCGACGACGGCGACGGCGCCGGCGCCGGCGCCGTTGGGCAGCGACGACGAGGGGGCACCCCCAGTGCTACCGACAACGGCGAGCGCTGGGCAGCGACGACGACGACGGCGACGACAACGACTATGACGACGACGACGACGACGACGACGACGACGACGACGACGACGACGACGACGACGACGACGACGACGACGACGACGACGACGGCGGCGGCGACGACGACGACGACGACGGCGCCGGCGCCGTCGGGCAGCGACAGCGACGATGACGACGACGACGGCGACGGCGACGGCGACAGCGACGGCGACGACGACGGCGACCGCAACGGCGACGGCGACGGCGACGATGACGACGAAGAGGAAAACGACGGCGACAGCGACAGCGAAGGCGACGTCGGCGATGGCGACGGCGACGACGACGCGCACAGGGACCCCCTCCTGCAAGGAAGGGGGGCTCGAACAGGGGGGGGCACCTCTGCAACCGACGACGGCGAGCGCCGGCGCTGACGCCGTCCGGCAGCGACGACGACGACGACGACGACGACGACGACGACGACGATGGCGGCGACGGCGACGGGTGCCGGCGACAGCGACAGCGACGACGACGGCGAAGGCGACGGCGACGGGCGACCGCGACGGCGACGGCGATGGCGACCGTCGACGGCGACGGCGACGGCGACGATTACGACCGACGACGACGACGCGACGACGACCACGACGACGACGACGACGGCGGCGGCGATGGCGGCGGCGACGGCGACGACGACGGCGACGGGCGACCCGCGACGGCGACGGCGATGGCGACGGTGACGGCGACGGCGACGGCGACGATTACGACCGACGACGACGACGACGACGACGACCACGACGACGACGACGGACGGCGGCGGCGATGGCGGCGACGGCGACGGCGACGGCGACGGCGACGGCAACGGCGACGACGACGGCGACGGCGGTGGCGACGGCGACGGCGACGGCGACGGCGGCGGCGGCGGCGGCGACGGCGACCGGCGTCTGGCGACCCGCGACGGCGGTTGCGATGGTGGCGATGGCGACGGCATCAACGATGACGACGCGCACAGGGCCCCCCCTTGCAATCGACGCTGGCGAGCGCCGGCATTTTCGCCAGCGCCGTCGGGCAGCGACGACGACGTCGTCGTCGACGACGACGACGCCTGCGACGACGACGACGACGTCGACGACGAGGACGACGAACGGCGGCGACGGCGGCGACGACGGCGGCGTCGGCGGCGACGGCGGCCACCACGGTGACGAGGGCGGCGGCGACGGCGACGGCGACGGCGCCGGCGGTGGCGACGGCGACGGCCACGGCCACGGCGACCGGCGACCAGCGACGGCGACGACGACGACGACAACGATGACGACGATGACGACGACGACGACGACGACGACGACGACGACGACGACGACGACGACGACGACGACGACAAGCGACGACGACGACGACGATGCCGACGCGCATGGGTGGGGGGGAGGGAGGCCTGGTTCGAACACCATTCCCTTGCAACTCATGGGGGGGGAACCCCCTCCCCTGCTCGAACGCCCCCCCCCCCCCGCGCTTCGACCCCCCCCCCCTTGGACAAGGGCGTGAGACCCCCGCCGGCTCGAACCCCCTTCCCTTAGGCCCTTGGACAGGCCCACCCCCACCTCCGGCTCGACCCTCCCCCATTGGAGCCCCCCCTTGGACAAGGGGGTCGCGTGGGCCCCCGCCCCGATTCGAGAATCCCCTTGGACAATGGGCGTGGGGCCCCCATCGGCTCGAACCCTTCCCTCAGGCCCTTAGGAAGGGGCCCCCCCTCTCCGGCTCGCCTCCCTCCCCCCCCCCCCGATTGGAAGGGGGGGGGGGGGGGGCCGGTCAGGGAAGCCTCTGTCCAGGGGGGGGCGGTTCTCCAGGATGTTTTTTTGGGGGGCCTTTCCCGCAGTTCGAACGTGACGAGGTTTCTCCCAGGCAAGCGTCCGCATACATGCGTTCCCTCGCGCCTTGGTACAGCGATATGGCAAAGGCTGTGCTGCGTGCTCGGTGCGGACGTGCGCCCCCAGGGAGGCCGGTCCCCCGGGGGGGGGGGGAGGAGGGGGAGGAGGGGTGGGAGGAGGAGGAGGAGGAGAGGAGAAGGAGGAGGAGGAGGAGGAGGAGGAGGAGGAGGAGGAGGAGGAGGAGTAGGAGGAGGAGCAGGAGGAGGAGGAGGAGGAGGAGGAGGAGGAGGAGGAGGAGGAGGAGGAGGAGGAGGAGGAGGAGGAGGATGGGCAGGGTGGCCCAACGCCCAACGCCGACGTCTGCGCTGGCGTCGTCGTGCGAGCGGGCCCTCCTGGGGGGCAGGGCGGGCGCGGGCCGGGCGCCTCGGCGGGCCTCGCGAGACTCGCAGGCCGGCACCGCGCGGCGCGCAGCCGCGGGCCGTGGGAGGTCGGGTCGCTGCGGGCAGCGGCTGCTCCTGGGGCCAGTCGGTGCTCTCGGGGGCCGCCGCGGCCCTCGAGGCCCGCCCCGGGGACGAGCTCCCCTCGAGCACCCGCTGGGTGCTCTCGGGGCTGGCCAAGAGCCCTGAGATCCTGGCGTTGCATTTTTTCGCGACGGGCGTTGTCGCTCGATTCGGGCCCCGGGACCCTCACAGATCGATCCGGCCCGACGCGGAAAGATGGGGTCCAGGGCCCTGGGCGTGATTTTTGCGATGCTGCAATTTTTCTGCAGCGTCGGATCTCAGGGAGGGGTGGATACCATGGCGGGGGCCGTGATGTTTCCCAGATCTCGTGGCCCCCTCCTCTTCTTTCCGTGCGTCCCCCCTCCCCCCGCTAGGCCGCGCACCCGCCTCGGGTCACGATCTGCGAGCCCGCCTCTTGAAGGCGCCCTCCTCGTGGGACGCCCCCCGATGCGCTGGCGTGCACCGTTCTCCAGAGGTCTGATCTCGTCGGACTCCCGGCGCGCGGGGGCACGGGCGGAAGGGGGGGTGGGGGGGGGCGAGCAGAGGGGGAGGAGGCAAGGGGAAGGGGGGGGAAGGAGGGGAGGAGAGGGGGCAAGCTAGGTGCGCTCGCGTCATATCTGACGTCCTACCCCTCCCTCCCATCCCTGACCATGGCGCAGATCTCTTCTCTATGCGCACGGTCCGATGTCGAGCAAGGCAATGATCGCGAGAGGGTGCACGATGCATTGTAGAGGACGGCATGGCATGATCATGGCGTAGAAGAGCACGGCAGAGCGTAGAATGTCATAGCATGGCGTGGCATCGCGTAGTGAAGCATTGCATCGCGAAGCATTGCAACGCAAAGCATGGCACCGCACAGCGGCGCAGAACAGAACACCGCATAGCATGTCATGGCAGGGCAGGGTACCTGGTTCCTTGGAGGGTAAGCGGATAGTCTTCGAAGGATCTGGGCAAGTTTGGAGTCGCGGCTCCATGTTTAGCTCCCTGGGCTCCGCAAAAAGCTCCCCATAAGTCGGGGCTGATGGAGAGCACCCGCTAAATCTGCTTGCAACATCGCCTTCTGAAAGCAGAAACGGGGCGCCCGCTTGATAATTCCGCGAAGCGCCGCCGCCCCGAAGTGGGGGGGGGCTTCTGCGGCCCAAAAAACGAATCGACACCGGATGTGCAATCTTTTGCGATGTATTTTTCTGAGGGTGATGTTCTAGATTTGAGGCCTTTTTGGAAGGACCGAAAACGCCCGCGCTGCAGCGGGAGCACGTTTTGGGACAACCAGAGGCGCAGAAATGGGGCCAGCGCTGCAGCGGGAGCAACATGTTGAAGAACCGAAAAGAATCGGATTGCCAAAAACACATGAAAACCAGGAAATGAGGCCACCGCTGCAGCGGGAGCACGATTCGGAACGAGCGGAAGCTCGGAAATGAGGCCAACGCTGCAGCGGGAGCAACATGTTGAAACAAACATACCTTAGCGAAAACCTAGTTCCCGGGAATAATGCGTGCCAGACAAACAGTACGCGGAGGGAGGCTGGATATCTTCGGGACGGCATCAGAGGAGAGAGGAGGAGGGAGGGCGAGGAGGGGAGGGGGGGAGGACAGGTCGGGCAGGGTCGAGGGGGAGAGGGGGGAGAGAGGGGAGGACATGTTAGGTGCGCTCGCGCCATTTTCCTTTGCGTTGAAGTCGAAGTCCTTTCCATTCGCAGAGTCAGGTGTCGGGAAAGACCTTGATCCCGAAAGGGCAACCTAATCGAAGAGGACCTTCTCCCCTGGAAGTCAAGAGTCGGGAGGGCATGAAGGAGGCGGAGGGGAAGGGAGGGAGGGAGGAGGAGAAGGAGGACACGCTGCAGCGGGAGCACCAGTGTCGCTGATGCAGGAGCACCGCCACCGCTGCGACGGGAGCGTCGTCCCTTGGACGGAAGATCGACGGAAATTCGCAAATGTGGTCATCCCCAGAGCAGGAGCATCACTTCACCAATGCAAGAGTATGGCCAGCCTACGACGAGAGCGTTGTTCCGTTGGACGGCTGTCCTTTTGAACTTGTTGGATGTTGCAAACGTTGCAGCGGGAGTATACTTTCTGAGAGGCCGATATCGTCTTGATTGGAAAGCCATATCGAACGCTAATTCTGGACAA